AAAAAAGCCACAATGGAAAAATAATACACTTGTAAAAAAAGCCAAAAAAGTATACAAATTTAAAAATTTATAAATATATAAATATGTTTCAGTTTCAGATTGGAGTTATCATCAGGCCAATTTTATTTTTTATTGTCCTGATGAAAGTTCCAGTCCAGAACTGAAATGTTAATGTTCTGACAAAGATTAAATAAAGATTTAACTAAGAAGGCAGAGAGTGCCGTACATCTACATCTATAGTATACATTTCGGTCCAAAACCAAGGACCAGGTGGAATTGAAGAACACAGCCAGAGTGCAGGGTTTGTATACACACACACACACACACACACACACATGCATGCACGCATGCACGCGCACACACACAGACACACTATATATATATATATATATATATATATATATATATATATCAGAAAACCATATATGCGCTATATATAATAATACACTTGTCAAAAAAGTATAAAAAATTTAAAATTCATAAATATATAAATATGTTTCAGATTGGAGCTATCATCGGGCCACTTTTTTTTAATTGTCCTGATTAAAGTTCCAGTCCAGAACTGAAACGTTAATGTTCTGACAAAGAACATTAACGTTTCAGTTCTGGACTGGAACTTTCATCAGGAAGTTCCAGCACACACACACACACACTATATATATATCAGAAAACAATATATGCGCTATATATAATAATACACTTGTCCAAAAAAAGCCAAAAAAGTATATAAATTTAAAAAATAATAAATATATAAATGTTTCAGTTTCAGATTGGAGCTATCATCAGGCCAATTTTTTTTTAATTGTCCTCATGAAAGTTCCAGTCCAAAACTGAAACGTTAATGTTCTGACAAAGATTAACTAAAGATTTACGGTAACTAAGAAGGCAGAGAGTGCCATACATCTACATTTATAGTATACATATCGGTCCAAAACCGAGAACCAGGTGGAATTGAAGAACACAGCCAGAGTGCAGGGTTTGTATACACACACACACGCGCACACACACACACACCGACACACTATATATATCAGAAAATCATATTGTGTTTCTGATGCTCTGTAAATGGCCCTCACTTTTAAATGCAAATTTTCATATATGTTGCCGGGGAACTCTAATATAACCAATATATAACTCATAGGATTTGATGCAAAAATGTAAACACTGTATTTATGTAATTTCCATAACAGATAAGTGAACATTTCAGACTCCAAAAAGGTTGTTTCTAAAGTTTATATGTCTAACCAAAGTTTTCATTTTTGTTTCTAATACACAATGTGCTATCTATGCATGCTGAAAGGAAAAATAAACTTAAACATTACTTTCCAGGTCACCCAAAATACTTGGTCTCTGGTAGTGGTTTTATTTTTGTTTGTTATCCTCTTGGTAGTCAAGGGGTTAATATTTTAGACAGAACTGACATGGAATGAGTGTTTAATTTTAAAAAATGTAGCCGCAGTGAAATTTAATGCTGAATTTGATCTATATAATTTTTTTATACCTCCCAAAAGGCCAGACAGAATGGAATTTAAATTACAGTACCAAATTCTTTCTCCTGTCTCACTGACACAGGTTTGTTCCCTGGTGTCCGCAGATGTCCCCATAAGTGAAGAATGAGAGAATCTTGAGATGTGCTCGTACTGCACAGATGTAAAAATGTATTTTATTTCCATATACTATTATGCAGAGAATATATTAGAGTATCTAGCTATTGTGCCCTTGTTCATTTTATTTTATATTAATTTTCCACTTCACTAGCATTGATCTATTATTGACATTAACCATCATGAATATGAGTTTTTAAAATTACTTAATATTTTGATATATATTGTAATTTTATTATATTTAGATTTATATATATATATATATATATATATATACATATATATTTCATATATGATATATTGTTTATATTTTAATATTCTGAAAAAATCATTTTAAAAGTTTACCCAAAAAGATATCAGATCTAATTATTTAGCACTTAATTATATAGTTAATGGAACTCTGTAAGTTAATTGTGTCAATTGAGCTTATGTTTCTACAACAAAGCACTTACAGATTTAAAAAAAAGGAAATACAGGAAGTCAACCATTAGACCAAGAGATGATAACCCTTAAAGAAATATAAACACAGATATAATGTTGTAACTCTAAGAAAAATTCTTTAAAGAAACAACCCTTCGAGGCATGGCTTGTACGCCAGAGAGCATTGCCGCATAATCTCTATGCTTCCCGATGACTCCGCAGAAAACTCTACAAAATCCTAGCAAGAACTGCTGATATGGTCAAATCTCATCACACTTAGGGCTTCCAAAGAGTTCCTAGTACCAGCAAGGGAGTATTTACCTTTCCTCTTAAGCAATATTTGGTTACACCAGCTGACCTGGTCTCCAACCTGTCACGCATATCCACACTCAGAGAGAGACGGTCCGATGCCCTTAACCTCGACATCCGCCACTGGGACTCCAGATTGGGTTGTCCTCCTCCATAATCTCCCAGCTAAGGCCAACCTAAAGGTAGCTAACGAAGAACTGCACAAAACAATCACCACAGAACTGCACATTGGTGCAGAGATACAAGGCCTCCACTCTAATGCAGAATAGCTAGAGGCTGACAGTGACCAAATGCTAGCAACACAGACCACCAAGACTGACACCCTTGACCACCAGACACTACAACTGTGGCACATGGCCCAAAATATTGAAGACCTTGACAACAGAGACAGCCGACATAACATAAGGGAAACCAGAGACAGAGGAGACAAAATCCCAACTATGGACCACACTTATTGCTATTTTTAACTAAATCTTTAGCCATGCACCAGATGATACAATGGAATTGGTTAGAGCCCACAGGGAATTACGCTCCAAAGGCCCACCTGAAGGCCCACCAAGAGGCATAATATGTTGCTTAGCTGATTTCTCTCTCAAAGAGGACACAATGCATGAAGCATGCAATACTATGAGTTATGAACCAGGTGCGTCCTCTTCAACTGTTTCCAGATCTATCTCTGTCATGCGCTCGCTCGGCCCGACACTTACCTCCACCGATCCTCACTGCCAAACACTGGACCATGCTGCACCAAAAAAAGCAGGGGCCAAATGGCAATTAAGTGGATTCTTGAAGGAGAAAGAGGCCTTCCTAAAAGGCCTTCCTACCCAGGAGGCAGACAGGACACCTATGGTCCATATTCTCCTATTTAAGCCTGCTGATACATGTGCACAGTATCCTGTGTTCCTTGCTAAGACCAGTCATTGCTCCTATACTGATTACCTGCTACCAGACTTTGGCTTGTTTCCTTTTTAAGGACCTGTGCCACCTGACCTGACCTATTGCCTGCCTGACCTCACTTCTGCTGCACCCTTCAATCCCCAACAACATTGGCTACCAAACGGCAGTACGCCCACTCACCCGAATATAGCAAATCCAGAAATAGCATTGCAGGTGGTGGTTCCTATTTGGACTCATAGTCATCACTCCTAAATGACCCTTATGTGGATACCGTAATCCATGAACTCTAACTCCTACTGGTGTCTCTTCAGTGGCTAGATCCTTTGGCCTTCTACTCCATGGGACCTAGGACACTTTCTGCTGCTGCTTTGCCGCCACGCATCCCCTGACATTATTTGCAAGCAGACAGGAAATCCAGGGTCTCTAAATAGAAGAATTAAACAAGTAATAACAGGAAAACTTGCAATGTTGTATCCTCTAAAAGAAGTGGTTGGTTCACTAAGTTTTCCTTTTTTTTTTTTTTTTGGTTGTACATCTGTATATAGATACGATATGCTATAATTTTACTATAAAAGATAGGGCTAAGACTCCTGGGACAGGGGTAACGTAATGATACTGCACTCTCTAGCAGGATAATGTCATACAGATAGAAGTGCAAATTGCAGCACAATGGCTTAGATCAGGGGTTCTCAACCCAGTCCTCAGGACCCCCTACCAGTCCAGGATTTGGGGATTACCTGGGTGTGTCTCAGGTGTTTAGAAAAAGGGAAAAAAACACCTTAGACTCTAAGGTGTTTTTTTTTCTAAACACCTTAGACACACCCAGGTAATCCCTAAACCCTGGACTGGTAGGGGGTCCTGAGGACTAACGTTGAGAACCCCTGGCTTAGATGAATGATTCCCTTTCACTGAGATCCTCGAGATGAGATCCAACTCCTACAGAAGTCCTACGAATATTCCTGGCCAAGACACTACGACAGTTACAGAGCTTAACTGAGAGATTGCTTGTACTGGGGGGAGACTTTAACTTGGTCTTGGTACTTCACCTGAACTCCTCCATGGGATGTTCCCCCATTACAAGGGTGACACATGCACACAACTCTTATTCCAGACTAGATTACTTTTACATATCGCATTACCACCTAGATAGCCTCATATCGGGGAATATAGATGGTCAGAGCAATACCCTGTCAGATCCTGCCTTAGATCAAGCCCACATGTGCATTATCATTGGATTCTTCCTTAAGAAGAGCTCTGAATTAAAAAAGCAAAGGGAGGCCTGAATTTCATCGTTACTAACTAAGATCCAAGATATAGAGTAAAAAAAATACAGTGGCCCCTCAATTTCCCTTTCAGACTGAGTTTCTCTAGCTCAGAAGGCTCCTATCTTTATAAACATGAACTATCACTGCTCCTTAATACAAAAGGGCAATAAAAGCAGTAAATTGATGGCTCAAATGTTTTGCAAAAAGAGGCAAATTATGTATATGTTTGTGTGTGTATATATATATATATATTTGTGCTTGGAATTTCTAATACATAATGGAATGTAGAAGGAGAAGCAAAGTTGGTTGAGGTGTCCCAAAACCAACGTATGAGTAGACCTGTAATAAAAAGAGGGCCCACAAAGGTGAAATGTAAATATAGATGGGTGCAGGTGGGTGGGGACAAACAGTTTGAACGGCAAAGGTAAGTAGGGGGGTAGGAGTTTAAATAGGGGTCATAACCCCTCCCACAAATTCAGGCCAAATGGCCTTCCAATATTTCTGCTGGGAGGAGACAGACCTTATTTGATGTATCCCTTATATATATATATCAAAAATAAGGGATACATCAAATAAGGTCTGTCTCCTCCCAGCAGAAATACACTCTGCTCTAAGGAATACTATTTATATATTTACTTTCTTCCTAAACCTCAAACAGCAGAGGCAAGACACAAGCTGAAGCAGGACATATAAACCTATCTATCCACACATGTACTATGGACCCTCTTCAAAGAGACAGCAGAAATCCTCGACGCTCTAGTAGCTCAGGAGGAAATAATTCCCTCAGTTAAAGCACAAAACCAGGTAAGTGCCCCGGATTGGATGGGCTGCCACTCCACTACTATAAATGCAGAGCTACTTTACCCACAATTTATTAAGGCAGGATCTCTGCCCAGATCCTGACAGTACATTCCATATTTATCCCAAAAGAGGGCAAGGATGTTCATGAATTATAGACCAATCTCACTACTTAACTACGATTTCTTTACAACTACTTGTATTCAAACTTGCATTTTTTCACTGACAAACCTAGACCAAGTGCCAAACAGGGAGGCTCGAAACAATAATTTACAGGCATGATGCTGATTCATGGGAAAATAAGTATGTCGGATTATTAGTATTATATTATCAGGGCCGGTGCAAGGATTTTTGCCGCCCTAGGCAAAAGTAAAGTTTGCCACCCCCCCCCCATGTGACATCACAATGCCCAACCATATGATCTGCCATGTTAACTAACACCAGTGCTGCAGTGCTGCCGTGTTTACATTAAAAGGCCTGCAGGGACAGGCTATGGACACCAGAACCACTACATTAAGCTGAAGTGGTTCTGGGGACTAGAGATTAGTGCCACGAATATACTAGATTGCCTACTTACAACCAGATGAGGATGATGATGGGCTCTAGCTGCAGTCTGGCTCCACTGGTCTGGTGTAGAACAGGCTCCCTGGAGGCTGTTTGTAACTGTGGTCACAAAAATCAATGTTCTGGGAGAATGGGAAGCAGCTCCATTTTTTTTAAGGCCCTTTACACAGCTCAAGGTCTGGGTCCCAGGGTCCACTTTCATGTTCCACCAATGAGTTTGTTCACAGGGGTGGAGTAGGGGGATGTCCGGATATGTGTGTAAGGAATGCATTGTGTGAATCTGTGTTTGTATGTGTAAGGGCTGCAAGGTGTGTTTCTGTGTATGTATGGGATGCATTGAGTGTGTGCATCTGTAAGGGGTGCATTGAGTGTGTGTAAGGAATGCATTGTGTGTTTCTGTGTGTGTAGGGGATGCATTGTGTGTAAGGGTTGCATTGCTTGTGTGTGTGTGTCTGTGTGTGTAATGCATTGTGTGTTTTTCTGTGTGCAAGGGGTGCATTGTCTTTGTGTGTAAGGGGTGCATTGTGTGTGTGTGTGTGTGATGGATGTCAATCTCTTCTCCCCCCTCTCCCTCCCTTGTCCCTCTCTTCTCCCCCCCTCCCTTGTCACTCTCTTCTCCCCTGCTTGTCCCTCTCTTCTCCTCCCTTGTCCTCTTCTCCCCGTTGTCACTCTCTTCTCCCCTCCCCACTCTCATTCCCCCATCAATTCCCCTCCCTGTCAATTTCTTCCCCCCCCTGTCAATTTCTTCCCCCCCTCCCTGTCAATTCCCCCCCCCCTCCTGTCAATTCACCCCTCCCTGTCAATTCCCCTCCTGTCAATTCACCCCCTCCTGTCAATTCACCCCCCTCTCTGTCAATTCACCCCTCCCTGTCAATTTCCCCCTGTCAATTCCCCCTCCCCTGTCAATTTACCCCCTGTCCATTTCCCCCCCCACCCCTGTCCATTTCCCCATTTCCCCCCACCTGTCCATTCCCCCCCATGTCAATTTCTCCCCCTACCTCCCTGTAGCGTGGCCGAGCCCTCTATGGTATGGTCCGCGGGTACAGGGAGCTTTTGTTTCCTGTACCCGGCCTGACTAACAGGAAGTACACACTCAGTGTGCACTTCCTGTTAGTCCGGCCGGGTACAGGAGACAAAAGCTCCCTGTACCCGCGGACCATACCATAGAGGGCTCGGCCACGCTACAGAGAGGGAGTGACAGGAGGGAGCGCTGACAGGTAGCGCCGGCCCTGTATATTATTTATATAGCACCATCACATTCCGTAGCGCTGTACAATGGGTGGACTAACAGACATGTAATTGTAACCATACAACTGGACGTACAAGAACGTGGATGGCCCTGCTCAATCAGCTTACATTCTAGAGAGAGTGGGGTATAGTGACACAGAGGGTTAAAGTAGGGGTATGAAGTAGGTTGTTAGAAAAGTTTTCTTATAGGGCTTAGTAGGTAATTTTTGAAAGTTGAAGATGAGGAGTCATGTTGGATACAAACCTGCTAATAGTTTAATTGATATGCTTTCTTGAAGAAGTGAGTTTTCAATGATTTTTTGAATGAGTGGGGACTGGGTGTGGGAGTTCCACAGAAGAGGTGCAGCCCTGAAGAAATCTTGGAGGCGAGAATTGGAGGTGGGCGTACGGACAGAGGATATACGTAGGTCTTTGGCAGAGTGGATGGCCTTGTCCTGCTGTCTACTGACCCAAGAAGGCATTGGACAGGATACAATGCAACATCCTGTTCCATACATTGGAGCACGTGGGTCTAAGATCCTTTCTAATGGGCTGAATTAAGGTCATATATCAGAACCTGTCAGCTAGGGTCCTGGTGAATCGGGCCCTCAAAAAGCTCTTCAAGATACAGAACGGCACTCACCAAGGCTGCTCTCTATTGCCACTGCTCTTCATACTTGCGCTCAAATAATTCCTAGTTTCCATTAGACAAAACTGTGAAATAACTAGAGTTAAAGAGGAAGACATAAATCATAAAACAGGACTCTACGCAAATGACTTTTTATTTTTTTGGCTAATCCCGAAATTTCCCTCATTATGGCAGCATTTCACAGAATTTGGTAGACTTTCAAAATTAAAATGAATTACAATAAATCATGATATAAACATCAACGTGACAAGTAGACATGCCATCCCAGATCTTTTCCTTTCAGTGGTCAGATTTAAAAATAAGATACCTGTATATAAGGCTTACAGACAAATTGCCAGAACTATACTCAAATAATATCGCCCCAATGTTGACTACTTTTCAAAAATAACTCAAGGAAAGATTCTACCCCACATTTTTCATGGTTTAGATGAGTACAGGTTATAAAAATGAGTCCTCCCTCGGCTGCTATAGCTTTTGTAAAAGCTTCTCTACATACATGAAATACATCAGTTTGGAAAATGGGATTTCTTCCTTCCAGGCCCTGCTGCTCCTCTAGGTGCACAACCCAGAATTTCGACTGGGATTAGCACCTAGAATACACCTTCAGGCCTGAGACCACTTAACTCCTTAGTTACGGAGGAAAACATATATTCATTATGCAAACCTTCTGATAAAAGAAAATCCAGGGTTACGTGAACAGCATCCACATAAACCCTCCATATTTAGAGACCAAAATTTCTTTGAAGGTACCTGCAAGGCACCAAACGGATTGGTGCATGGAGTGTCTTACCTGTACTCCCTACTCCAGTCTAAGCTTCCGACAGTCTTCCCACCATTTATGGGACAATAGGAAACATATGCAGGGAAACCTACTCTGAAACCCAATGGCATAACATTTGCGACCTAACACACCATTGCTCACTTTCTAGTCCCAAAAGGCATCATCCAATTTATGTCTTGCTGGTAACGCATCCCTTTGTTCCTTCAGAAAATAAACCCCGCACATACAAGGTTATACTGGCATTGCATGCAGGCACCCGGAACACTGAAACACTTATTGTGGGACTGTGATAAATGCAGCCCTTGGAAGGGAATACACTCCATGTTGGAAATATTTTATGACTTATCACCTCCCTTTACACCGGCCCCTATGTTACTGCATCACACTAAATCCCCCAGGGCAAAACATAGGAAGTCCATGACAATCCAACTTTTAAATGTAGTGAAACAGGTGGTCCCCCAGTTTTGGTAATGACCAGTCAGTCCCCGACTTCAAACCTGATTTGATCGAGTGGGGAAGTTACTCACTCTAGAATAATTACACTTCGGGACTGTAGATAAAATCAGTTTATACCTATTAATTTGGTACTTACTACCTCTAAAGAGTATTTGGGCAGGAGGGTATTGGGCAAGATCCTCTCCAGTCTCACACAGGTGAGGTGATACAGAGTGATCTGGACGATTTCCCTAACACTCTCTTTTCTAGTTACTTAGTTAATTCTAACATTGGTTATACATAGTAGAAATCCTTTTCTTTGACGATTTTTGGCAATGAGTCTGTAAATGTTGTTTAGCTGTACAGTTGTTGGCATGGGAATGTATAGCTCTGTATTACCTGTTTGTGAGTCCTGAAGGTCCTGCGAAACACACAGAAAAGGACATGGAACTGTGATCAGTGATGTCGTACTTTGACTATACTTTTTACTGACAAAAAAATTATATTCACTATAAAACATTTTTTTTTTAAACTTTAATGTCTTAGAATAGTGTTTTTTTTTTTTTTTTGGTAAATAACCTTCAATTTACATTTCTTCAAAAGTATCAAACTAGAATAAAAACAGTACTCAACTCCCTGTGATTTCTAGTGGAGAGAGTGAGAGATAACCAGAGAAGAAAACATCACATAGCCACCAGGTCCAGAATACACCCTGTTCCAAATTATTATGCAAATTCTATTTAAGTGTCACAAAGATTAAATATTAAATTTTTTAACCCCTTAAGGATGGAGCCAAATGTACACGTTGTGAACGAAACAAAATGTAAACAAAACCTGGCATTTGCGCTACATGTCTGTCCAACCGTAATTCACCTCTTTCATATTAAATGCACCCACCCTTATTATATATGATTTTATTCAGGGGAAACAGGGCTTTCATTTAATATCAAATATTTAGCTATGAAACATAATTTAATATGAAAAAATGGGAGAAAATAAGATTTTTTTTGATTTTTTTAGTTCTACATGACATTTTAACGGTCAGTGTCATAATACTGTTTGCTTTTACTGCAATAAAATACACATATTTATATTCAGTAAAGTCTCACGTGTAAGACAGTACCCCCTATGTACAG